GACATCTCGGCGGGCGGGCGGGCGCGGCTTCGCTGGCGGTGGTGCCATCTTGCTTGTCGGCTGCAGCCGACGCCCTGCCCTCGGCTGCACCATGCTGGGCTTCCCTGCTGGCGGCTGCCTGGTCTTCGGCGGCGGCGGCCCCATGGTCTTCGGCGGCGGAGGCGGAACTGGAGGGTTCATATTGCCAGTCCTCCACGGCGCTGCTGAGGCATCGTCTTGGGCAAGTTCGGCGCCATGGGCTCCCGATGCATCAGCTGAGGCTTGGGGACGTGCGCCTCGCGCACCCGCGGCGCTGCCTTGTTGCCGTGCAGCTTCGCGTACATCTCGCGCTTTGCGCCACCTCGGTTCCCCCAGCGCTTCGCATTGGCGCGCCACGCCTGGCCCTGCCACGTCTGCGGCCCGCCCATGGCGGGGCCAGGCGGGCCGCGGTCGCGGAACTTCTTGTAGTCGTACTTCATCTGGTACTCCTTGAGCACGGCGAGCACGTTCTCCGACCGCCAGTCGATGGGATTCCCAACGGGGTCGCTCAGCCAGGCTCGCAGCTGCGTCCTGAACGCCTCCACCGCGCTGGGATGCGCCTCCACCGCCTCGGGGGGCTCTTCCACCACAGGCGTCGCGCCCCGCATGTGCGACGCGAGCTCCTTCACGAGAGCCGAGGGCGGGAAAGGCCGCTGCCGCGGGTCCCGCGGCGGTGACGTCGGCCCCCGCCTGCGCGGCGGCGTCGACGGTGCCCGCGGGTGGCGCGGGCTGCGCGATCGCGCTGGCTGCGCCGCCAACGTGGGCGCGCTGGCTGGCCGACTGCCGCTGGCGGAGGAAGACCGATCCCCTGCGTTGTTGTCCACGCCCGCAAGGTCGGAGAGCAACTGCATCGCTGGCCCGAACATCTCCTGCGCCGAATCGCCAAAACAGTTCGACCGAGAGCGGCCAGCCAGTTTCGCGCGCGATGCGCGCGTCCCTGGCTACCGCACGCGGGGCCACTTGTTTTGGCGATGCAGCTGCCTCCAACGCGTCGAACGCGCTGCCGCTGTCTGCCATGGCCGCGGCCGCAGTGCGAGGCGCCGAGCGCGACGCGGTGGCTGCGGCGCAGCCTCGGCGCGCGGGCCCCAGCCCACGCGTCGGCGCGAAAGGGGGGGGCCGACCCCGCGCGGGCTCGCGGGCACCCGCGGGCCGCGGGCTTGAACCGAAATGGAATCGGACGCGGAAGCGAGACTTCGGGAGGAGGGGGAGGGGGTTGCCCATGGACCCATTGAAGTCTTGGAGCTCCTCGAGCCCTCGGGGGCCTCTCAGAAGGGCCCCGCTGGTTCTTGCGACGGGGTCTCGGGGGAGGGGGCAGAGTGAGGGTGGCATTGGGAACCAGAAATATAAGTGAACTGGCGTCCCTTTGAATGTGCAGGTCTTGGTTCACTTGTTTTCGTCGTTGAACGGGCGGTGGCAACGTCGGTGCCTTCGCGCGCGCCCATGCCATTCTGGGTGAACGCCTTCGCCGTTCGAGCAGTGGGCGTCTCCCCGACGTTAGTTGGCGTGGGATCCAGTGCCTGACAGCGGAGAGGGGGGCGCAGGGACGTGGCGCGGGGGCGCGGAGTGGGCCGAGTAGGGGAGGGGGGCGGCGGCATGTCCGCCTGAAGGGCGGAGGAGCGCAAAGGGGTGGGGCGGGGGCGGCATGTCCGCCACGAGTTGGAAGGCGAGAAGGCTGCGCTACAAGGCGGCATATCCGCCACGAGGCGGCATATCCGCCACGACCTTTTTGTTATCCCGAGGCCGCCCCGTTGGCCTGGAGAGTTGAAGAGTCGTAGCGCGAATTACTCGCCGCGCGCCCTGGCGGCGAGCTCCTTCTTGACCAGCTCCTCCGCCTCCGCGATGGCCCTGGCCTCGGAGCGATCGGGCGCAACGAGGCAGCAGGGGGCGGAGGGGGCGTCGAGGCAGGGGCGAAAATGAAGAGAGCGCGGAGGAGGGCGTCGAGAAGGGCGTCGGTGAGAATCTGGCCTTGTCGGCCTCATCGCCCGCGATGTACTTCAGGCTGACGTTGCTGCCAGGGACGCCGACCCTGCCGCTGCGGAACTGCACCTGGGGGGCGGAGCAACGATGAACAGTCGCCTGAAAGGCGGCGGGCGCGCAAACTGCGACCCCAGCGGGGCTGCTGGGAATCGCCGCGCGCGCCCGACGCCTCATCGGTGGGAGGTTCAACCCCGCTCGCCAAGTTGCGTGTGGTCTGCATCTCCCACCTCGGCTTCGCCCACTTGCGCTGCTTGTCCTTCCCAGCCGCGCCGTCCGTCTTCTTGCCCGTGGGGAGCGGCGTCTTCTTAGCCACGTTGCCCGTGGCAGGCGGCGTCGTCTTCTTTGCCGCGTTGTCATTGCCAGGCGGCGTCGTCTTCTTAGCAGCATTGCCCGTGGCAAGCGTGGGGGCCTTCACCGCCTCGGCGTTCTTTTTCGTCTTGACCGCCTTCGTCCTCTTATCCATGGCCGCGACCATGGCCAGAGCCGCCTCCGTCGGGGTCTTCTTCAGAGAGCCTGCGGCGATGCCGACCTTCTCAGCCTTGGGCGGCGGCGTCACGGCGACGATGCCGAAGTCGGAGTCGGAGTCGAGCTCGATCGGCAGCTCATGCTTCTTCTGCTTCTTCGCCGCGCGGCTCTTGCTGATCGAGGCCGTTTGGGCGGCGGCGGTGCTCGATAACGGCTGACAGTCGGCGGGTTTGCCGCCATCGTGTGCCGCCAGTTGCTGCGTCGACGGCGCATCCGAACTCCCCGCCGCCATCGAAAGCTGGTGGTTCGAACCTGCTCGTTCTTGCAACGGCTCCTGCGGCTGCTGCGTCTGCGAGCGGTCGATCAGCTGGATGGCTGGGTTGGGCCAGCGGCCGCCGCTGCGCGAAAGCCCCACCTGAAATCAGGCGGATCACCGCCGAACGAAAATATCCCCCCCCCCCCCCATCCCCCTAGGGGGATGGGGGGGGGAATATTTCACAACACGCCCTCCATCCAGGCATCCAGAAACGTACCCCGCGCCGATCCAGGAACCCACCCCTCGACCCAATACCAGGTGTCCCGCGGGGGAATGCGTTCTGTTATTCCCCGTGGAGCCGTCGGCCAGCGCCCAGAGAACGAATCGGCCGCCGCGATGGGGAGGTGCTGCTGAGGAGAGCCGCCGCCTGGGCCGTGGGATGGCTGCAGCCCGCCGCGGGCGGGCGCAGGCGCGGGCAGCGCGAGGTGGCCGCTCTTCTTCCCTGCACGGAGATTAATCAGCTTCGCAATCGTCACCATCTCGACGGGATTTATCTGCGGCGCCGTCGCTCCAACACCTGGCGGGAAGGCGTCGACGTACGTGATGGGGTACTGAGACTGGAGCCTCCCAGGCGTGATGGGGAGAGCCTGGATGCCATCCCTGGGCGGCGGCATCGTCGCCACGAGATTCTTGAACGAGGATTTCACTGTGGCCAGATATGACTGCAACAGCTCCCTCGTGATCTCGCCCGTCTCCACGCCTGTCTGCTTGCACACCAGCAACAAGAATGCTGCCATATTGGCGGCCGTCGGGCAGCTCGGATGCCTCAGGCCAAGCGCCCCGAGGTGCTCTGAGAACGCCGCCATCTTGGCAGTGAAGCCCGAATGCGGCGAGAGCACGAACTCCCACAACTGAGGCGTCAGAAATTCAATGAACCCCTCGTAGTTCTGGAGCTTCCTCCCCTGCAGGCTGCCCGACGACAGAGCCTGCAAGAAGTCTCCCAGCTCGGACTGCGCCCACCCCACGCCGCCGCCCAAAGCAGCAAACTGCGCACTCTGGAGCTGCGACCAGCGCTGGGACGTCGCCGCCTGGATGCAGGCAGGAAGGTGCTCCGTCGCACTGCCGCGCGCTACGAACGCCGCCCGCGCCTCCTCCAGGCGGCCTCGAAGGATGCCCTCCATGGCAGCGATGCGGCGCGACCGCGCGCCGAGCGGAGTGCGCGACTCCCCGCGCGCGCACGCCGCCCGAAGCCCTCGGAGGAGGGCTCGCCAAAAACGGATCGAGCCAACGCGCGTGCGACGGACATATCCTACTCCTGCTCTTCCTGCTCCTCCTCCTCCTCCCCCTCCTCCTCCTCCTCCTCCTCCTCCCCCTCCTCCCCCTCCTCCCCCTCCTCCTCCTCCTCCTTCTCCTCTTCCTCCTCTCCCTCCTCCTCCTCCTCCTCCTGGGTGAGGGGGGGCGCAGGGGGGAGAGGGTGTCGAAGGGGGGGCGGGGGAGGGGGTGCCGAAGGGTGCGCGGGGGGGAAGAAGAGAGCTATGGGGGAGGGTGGGTCAAGGAGAGGCCAGGGAGGGGAGGGGGGAAAGGGGTGGGCGGCTTGCCGCCGAGGGGGTGGAAGGAGGCGGCAAAGCAAGCCGCCGATAGGGCGGTTGGGAAGAAGCGGTTTCCCGCCACGAGGAGGAGAAGGCGGTTTGCCGCCAGAGGAGGAGTAGGCGGTTTGCCCCCAGAAGGGGTAGGCGGTTTGCCGCCAGAGGAGGAGAAGGCGGTTTGCCGCCAGAAGGGGTAGGCGGTTTGCCGCCAAAGGAGGAGAAAGCGGTTTGCCGCCAGAAGGGCGGTTTGCCGCCACGGAGGGGGAGAAGGCGGATTGCCGCCATGGGGGGGGGAGAAGGCGGATTACCGCCGACGGAGGACGAGGCGACGGAGGAGAAGGCGGTGCGCCGCCTAAGGAAAGGGGGGATAAGGGAGGGCCGAAGACACATGGATAAACATTTTCCTCCTTCCCTCCCCCCTCCCCGCGGGCATGCGCGCAGCCCGCAGCGCCGCGGCCGCGAGGTACAGCAAGTACCTGCGGCGCCTCGGTCCTGAACAACTGAACAACAACAACAACGGAAATTCAATGGATTTCAAAAAAGTTAAGAATAAAAAATACGCAAATGATTAGCAAAAACACGAATATGTTCAGCCCCATCGACTTAGCAGAGATATCTAACTTAGTATATTACTTACATCTACACTTACAAACACCATAAGTATTGCATATGCACACATGAGATGCGCGATCAACAAGTGTACGTTCTATGGCTTAACTAAGATTATGTAAGATGAACGCTCTTACCGCACTTACAGCCACCCGACGATCAAAGTTCGGCCCTGGCCAAGCCACGGGTGGCGTGCACCAGGCTCGGGCCCAGGCTGGGCCTGGCGTGCAGTTCGCGTCCTGCCGCAGACGTGCAGGTGGCGTCCTCCGACCGGCGCCCTCCCACGGTGCAGTCCACCCGCAGAGAGAGAGGACGGGCAACCTTCCCAAGGGTGCCTTCGCATCCCTCCTCGTCGGCTCATCCTTGGCCGCGGTTGCTGGCCGCGCCCCGCCCGCGAAGTGTCGACACGGTCCTCCAAGGCCCTCGCATCCTCGTCTTGCGTCCTCATCTTTCAGGAGGGGAAAAAACACACAGACACAATTAATCGGCGATTCCCAGAAAATATGGTAAAATATGGGAAGTGGGGGGGAAGACAAAAACCCAGGAAATATGTGAAAATATGGGGAATATTTTTATTTGTGTGTATTTATTTGTGTGTCCCAGTTCCCCTTCAATCTTGCGTCCTCATGACACGGGTCGACTGCGCCCTGTGCCTGCCGGGCGTGGGCGTAGAGTCGGTGCCCTCTCATCTCGCTGGGCACGGAGGCGCCGTGCGCCGGCGCGCGCAGCCCTCCCGCTGCCCTCGAAGTTGGGAGGAGGAGGGGGAAGATCGGGCCGAACGAGAGGGGGGGGGGATAGGGGAAGGGGGGGGATAGGGGATAGGGATAGGGGATAGGGGAAGGGGGGGGGGATAGGGGAAGATCGGGCCGAACGAGAGGGGGGGGGGGGATAGGGGAAGGGGGGGGTACGGAATCTGCTGCATGCAGCTGGCTTCGGCCTCACCGAGGGGCCCGTTCCTCGATACATGGCCGCCTCCGGCGCCGGGAGGCGCCGGGAAAATCAGCCACGCGAGCTGGTTCTCAAACCCCCCCCTTTGCTATCCCCCCCTTCCGCCCGACCCGAGAAGAGGTGCAGGAGAGCTGAGGAGAGGTAAACGAAGGATCAAGTCGCCCAGGTCGAGCGAGTCGAGGCGATAGCGATCGTTCGTCGGCTTCGCGCTGGGGATGAGGGCCCCGTCCTACTCCTGCCACGTGGTCTGCATCACGTGTTCTGCCGAGTTTGCTTTGACTCTTCAAACAGGTAGGATGGGAGGTCCCCGATTTGCTGGCTATCGGCTATCGACAGGAGTAATCGTATAGATTTGCCTAGTTAATTCCCACCCTTCCGCCCACAATGCTATGCATTAAGTGTGGCCGCTCGATGTTGGGACTGGAACGCGTTCCTACCTAGCAAAAGGAAGGCGCTCGCGAGGCCCCACTTCCGACGACTTGGAGGGTAAACTGTGGCAAGGCACGTCTGCAGTGCAACTCAGCCAAGGACCAGTAAGAGTTTGACATTGGGTCGAAGTTATCAAGGACCAGAACATTGCCCTTGGTATGGGAAACGTGCTTACCCTGACGAACTTGCTTCAAGTTTGAGTGAAGGTGGACGCTTCTTGCCCCCCGAGGCCGGCTCCGGCAAGCTTGCCAAGCCGTCTGGGAGAAGTAAGAGGCGTGTTTTGCTCCCCACGACGGCAGACAGGGCGAGTCACTCGCGACGCTCCTGCTTGCCTGGTCGACCAGGCCTTCAGCACCCTCAGGACCCGTCGGAACCTCCATCACTCCTCCAGGGCTGGCGGGACCGACGTTTTACCTGTCACACCGCACGCGTGCAACACAAGTGCGCCACTGCACACAGGCAGCACACGTGCGAGCACCAACAGTCATGAATTGATGTCAAGCCCATGGCTTTCGTCGCCGGTTGCCGAATCGCTTGTCGAGCGAGCTCTGGTGGTGGCTCGCCGCCGCCACGGCAGACTTTGCACGCCTCTCCTTTGCCAAGAGCCGCTCAAGCTTGGCCTTGAAGGGCTGCCGCCACGGCCCTCGGATACTGCACGTCTTCACATGGAGCAGCACCAGCTCCTCCAGCATCTCCTCAGCCAGCCGCTCCTTCGCCAGTAGCCGCCCGCGCTTGGCCTTGAAGTGCTGTTTCGGCGGCCCGTCGTTCTCGAAGGGGCGGCTGGCAGGTGCAGCGTGTCCAACGGCACGAACCCCACTGCATCCTGTCTGCACTTGCTGACCGCCTCCCCGCCACTCAGCGGCGAGCGAGGGGGGGAAATGAGAAGGAGCAGGCCTTCTCAGAAGGCGGCGAGGCTTCTCAGAAGCCCTCCGTCTTTCTGAGAAGACTTCTGTGTCTTCGGGGAAGGTTTCGAACACATCTCAGAAGGCCGGGGGATTCCGAGCCTTCTGAGAAGGCCTGCCCCTTCTCACTTCCCCCCGAGCTCGCCGCTGAAACACGTACTGGTATCTCTTCGTATGCCACCTCCTCATGCTTCTGGTCCGCCGCGATCGCCTCAGCGTCCAGCGGCTGCACCAAATCGACATCAGCACCCAGGGCCTCCAGCAACCGGTCGGCTTGCCTCCCGACGCACTTCGTTAAGAGAGGCGCGGTCTCGCAGCCCTCGTCGTCCGACACCCGCTTGGCGCAGTTGGCGCCCTTGCCGTCCACCTCCGCGCAGCCGCCCCGGCCCCCTGGAGCGCAGGGGTGAAAATCACAGCCTCTGCTCGGAGCGGAGGGCTCATAACCGCCTCCCCTCTGCCAACCCGCGCCGCCTCCAGCACAGCGGCCTGCAGCCCCGAAGCCGCGACGGCGGCATGCGAGCGAGCCACGCCTGGGGGGGGTGCGAGAGGCGCGCCGCATTGCAATGGACCAACAGCCAGCAGTTCCGCGGCCTCGTCGATTGGCTGGTCCCTCACGCCCAGGAGGCGGGCAGCCGCCACCGCGTGCCTCATGAGGGGAAGTCGGTGCCCCGCCGTGTCACCCGAGTGCCAGCGTGCCACGAGCGAGGCCCGCGATGTCGTCACCCGTTGGGCCAAGGCCGCCGCTCTCGGCTGCCCCAGCTCGCAGCGTCGCTCACGACTCGGCCGCCGCGCCAGGGTCCGAGGCACTGGGTGGCTGCCCAGCGTCTGCCTCCCAAGGGACTCCATGGCCGCTTCTGCGCGCCAGCGAGCCCCGCCGGGGCGCACGCGCCGACAGAGGGCCTCCCGTGACCCAGCTCCATTGAGCCAAAATGGCGGCGGGGGGAGAAGCCAGAGGAGGAGGAGGAGGAGGATGATGATGAGGAGGAGGAGGAGCAAGGATGCCACCGCCAGCAGTCCGAGGATTGCACTGCTGCCGGCCGGGTCCTTTGGAGAAGGGCGTCGGCTTCTCTCGGTGCGGCGGTGTTTTTTTGATTAGTTGGTTCTTCAGAGCAGCGCACTGTGAGCCGCATCGGTTTGCTACGCGCTACCGCGCTACTTGGCACGTGGTAGTATTCCACCCTCATCCTCTCGCGTCTCATCTCTACCGCAACTCATTGCGAGTACTATTCTCCTCTCCTCCCTCGGCAACGTGCCGAGCCACTCCACGTATTATCACCGTGTGTTTGGTCAAGTTGCAATGTACCATCGCGTAAGTGTCACCAATTTCCCTCCCCTTCTTCTGCCTTCTCATCCCGACAGCTACTCAATTTGAGCTCGTTGAGAAAGTGCCAACGTTGACCCGTGCCCGTCAGCACATTAGTTCGTCATATCAGAGTGAGCCGGCCGAAAGGTTTTTCATTGTCCCTGGTTGCGTGGTTGAATAAGGAGTTCTTGGTGAAAGTTCTGCGTGTTGCGTTGTTGTTGTTGTTGTTGTTGCTGTTGTTGCTGTTGTTGTTGTTGTTGTTGTTGTTGTTGTTGAACTCTCATTTCTGAAGAATAATTATTGTTGATCCCCCCCGTCCGGTGCACATGGTTTTTTCGATTGAAGTGCCCTTCCCGGGGTGCGCACCATGTTGTTTAACCAAGGAAAGTCTTGAGGGTCAAATTGTGTTGTTGGCCCCCAGTTTACAGCAACAACGGTTCCCGCCTGATATTTCCTCACAGTGTATTGAAGAATCGCGCATTCGCTTGGGACTTCCTTGCAATGTACCACCGGATCGCCGCTCCCGCTTGATATTTCTTTTCACTCTTTTGAAAAATCGCGCTATCGCTTGGTACTTCCTTGCAACTTACCACCGGATCGCGGTTCCTCACAATTCATTCAGATGCCTCTCCTCGACATTGAGGAATCGCGCTCCCCTACATATTGCCTGGCGGTTCAAGCAGGATGTACGCTTCAACGGCCCGCCCGTTCGACCCGCCCGCGCGACCCTGCCGCTCGGTGGTCATCGGGGCCATTCCGAGGCCCCCCAGAGGTCATAGGAGGTTTTCGTGTGCTTTTCAATCCCCTCGCGCCTTGTTTCCGCACCAGTCTCTGCTCGTATCCACCTGCCCCCACTTTTCAACGTTCATTCCCAGTCTTCTCTACTCTTTCCGTTTATCGTCATTTTCATTTCGTTCGTACTCCATTGTGCGAGCCCTCCGTTCTTCGCATTCCGCCCACTCCTCCCCAGCCCACCCCATCCCACCCCAACAAACTCCACCCCTTCCCGCTCGCATCCCGCATTTAACCCAAAGTATGCCCAGTCCCCCCTCCAGATTTCTCCGTGCCCCCCCCCGCTCCTCCCGGCCCGCTTTCCCAACATCCCGCTTCTTTTCAGGGTTCCACGAAGTTTGATTCTGACACCAATTCGCAGCTGTACGCCCACCCTTGGGGGTATCCACGACATGTTCTTTCAAGGGGGTGGTACGTGGCGCTCTTTATGGCGCGACCCATGGCGAAACTTGTTGTGAACCTGTATTGGAGTGGCTGGCGCAAACCATGGCGCAAGCTGAATCGCCACTCGCAGCGCAAATCATCGTCCTCCCTCCCTCTTGCCATTCCCCTCCTTTCCTCCGATCCCTTCGTCTTCATTATCCCCCGTTATCTGTTACTCTTCGTTTTCAAGGGCTTCACCGACCACGCGTGGCAGGGAATGAATATACCCCCCAAGTGTGGGTACGATCGAAGACGACAAGGGCGGGCGTCCAGGGTATGGGATACGCATATTGAGTGACACGCGAGCAGATAAGATCGAACAGTCTTAAAATAATTGGTGGTGTTGCTGTTTGTGTGCTTGTTTGTTTGTTTGTGCGCTTGTTTGTTTAGTGTCGTCGCCCCACCCGCGACCCACCCGCGACCCACCCCCGCGACCCACCCCGCGAACCACCCTGCGACCCACCCGCGACCCAAACCGCGATCCACCCGCAACCCACCCCGCGACCCAACAACGACCCACCCGTGACCCACCCGCGACCCACCCCGCGACCCACCCGCGACCCACCCTCGACCCATCCGCGACATAGCCGTGACCCACCCCGCGACCCATCCGCGACATAGCCGTGACCCACCCCGCGACCCACCTACACGGGAGGAAAAACCACCCGGACCCGACAATTGACGTCTATTAAAACGGCATAAGCAACCCTGTCCTGTTCGATTCATTCTTTGTGTGTTTTTACTAAACGGCTTGGCTTGTCCGGGTGATAATTCTGGGGTTGATTTTCTTCCCTCTACGCCCGCGACCCAACAACGACCCACCCGCGACCCACCCGCGACCCGCCCGCGACCCATTTGCGACCCCTTCGCGACCTACACACATTGGTTTAACGAAGAAATCGGCGCCTGCGGCGGGCTTCCCCGGAGTCTGGCAAACCGCCGGCGTCCCCACCGCCCCCTCTTTCTTATCCGCATCGGCGGGGTGCTACGCATGTGTAGGCTTTCATCGGGACATTTTCGGCCCTTCAGAGTGGTGCTCGCCGCTGTAGCCATGGCAGCATGTTCGGATTGGTGCATTGTTTCCGTCGTTGCGTTTTCTGTATCCGGGTCCTTTCTTGTCGTTTCCGCTCCCGTTCCTCATGATCTGAATTTTCCGACTTCCCCTTTCATATCCAGCGTGTAAGGCCCATTCGCCGACTGTGCAGCAAACGACGATATTTCGATTGCCTTTTGGTGATGAGGCCCTCCCCCCGTGACACCCCACTCGGCGGGCGGAAGAGGATTCAGCGAAATGAGACGCTTGGCATCGCTCGGACGTGTGCATTTTTTCCTTCGGCAAGGACCATCGAGGAACATCCTTGGTCATCGGGCGAAAAAAACACGCACGAAACCGAACAAAAAAACACAGGGAATGGACGTCCGAGCGATGGCCAGGACGAGATGAACGGTAGGAGCGGGGTGCTCGATGCGGCGCGGGCGCGCCCAGTTTGTCTCTCTCCCCTGCCGTCTCTCTCCTCTGTCTTCCTCGCTTTGCTCCTCGTCTCCATCGATGGCCGCCACCTCGTATCACTCCTCCATCCTCGTTGCCACTGCTGGGTAATACCTTAATTTGTTTGGCACACCGTTTGCAGATGGCAGCAGGCCAGCACGGTAATCAGCAGTTGGCCTGATGATATAGCTCAGTGCTCCCGCGCGGGTAGAGCCAGATCGCTCTCATTGTTGAGGCCGTATTTCAGTTGACAAATTGTGCTCCTCCACCTCCTCCTCCTCCTCCTTCTCAGCCTCTCGTCATTATCCTCATCATTCTCCTCAAACCCACCCTCCTGCCACATCTCCTCCCTGATCTCCTCCCTCCTCTCGTTGCTCCCAGCTGTCTTCCCCGCGCGCTCTTCTCCGTGGGCACTGGCGTCAGGGGTCCTCGTGGAACGAGGCCCTGGGCGCCTGAGATTTACCCCCCGGGCATGACCCTTCCGACTCTTCCTGGTGGCTCGTGGGCCAGGTCGCACAGGTCGCAGCCTCCGATGGGAGGAGGAGGAGGAGGAGGAGGAGGAGGAGGAGGAGGAGGAGGAGGAGGAGGAGGAGGAGGAGGAGGAGGAGGGAGGAGGAGGGAGGAGGAGGAAGAGGAGGAGGAGGAGGAGGAGGAGGAGGAGGAGGGAGGAGGAGGAGGAGGAGGTCTCGCCCCCTCGTCGACTAGTTTTGGCCTGCCACCGCGCTCCCAGGCAGAGCGCCACGGCAAAAGCCTTGGCCTCGGGCACGCCTCGCCCCTCGGGCGGCAGGCCCGCGGAGGCTGGCGGAAGTGCCATGGCGGCGTGCCCGCCGCCGGAAGCCGGCGGAGGGCGGCAGGAACGGCAGCGAGAATCTCGGCATCGCCCGGACGTGTGCAGTTTTTCTCGGCGAGAACCATCGAGGACCATCCTGGACCATCGAGCAACAGAAACACGCACGACACCGAAACATGCAGGGGAATTGAACGTCCGAGCGATGGCAAGGAATGTAATCTGTGTGATCCAGTGTTTTTGGAGTCGGATCCAACGTCTTGTGCACGAAGGCTTGTGCGCAGCTCGCATATCAGCGCCCCCGCCTGGGCCATGGAGTGTGGCCGCATGCACTGGCGGGCTGGCCACATGCTCCGCTCCGCCGCCTGGCCGCACCGACTTGGCGTCGCTCGGACGTGTGCATTTTTCCTTCGGCGAGGACCGTCGAGGAACATCCTTGATCATCTGGCGAAGAAAACACGCACGAAACCAACAAAAAACACAGGGAATGGACGTCCGAGCGATGGCCAGCCGATGGGCGGAGCTAACTTTCCAGAGCGTGCCAGAGTGCTCGCAGAGCGTGCCAGAAAGGGCCGTGGCGCCCGACACATCTGCGGAACCGCCAGATTTGAGAGATCCCCGATTTATCCCCGTCGGTCTTGTCCCGATCCCGGCTTAGTCTTACCCGACGATTGTCGCCCCAGCCCGTACTCTGCCTGGCGCGACCTCGCGGGGATGGCCCTGCACGGTGCACCTGCGCGTCGGGCAGCGCATACGTACCACCACCGCCACCACGCCGACCAGGCCCCGGCACGGCTCAGGACGGTCGGTGCGTTCGAGACGGGTGCGGAAGAGATGTGGACGAAGACCGATAGTACATCTTGTCCCTTTTGCACAGGGTTCGCTGCCGGTGCCGCCGCGGACGTTTTCCTGATTGCCGGAGGTCGCTGTCGGCTTTGGGCAAGATGTGCTGTTGGGCATCGTCCCTGTACCCGGGACGGGCGTGCCAAGGCGAGGAGCTGGGCAGGGAAGGCCCCCCAGGCCCGCTTCCCTCAGAAGACTCGGGTGGGTGGCAATGGGCCCGGCTGGGAGGTGAAGAACGTGGCCCTGATGGGGGGATGAAGAACAGGGCCCCCATGGAGGGTTTGGATTGGATGGGACTCGGATTCCGCGCTGGGTTCGGGACTAGAACTAACTGGAGAGCGGTTAGAGCTAATCTACCCCCTATGCGTCGCCTTGGGCGGCTGTCGGGGTTCACCGTCGGTGAGGAAAAGAGGCCCTGAAGGGACCCAGGTCTTCACCCCCAAGTCAGGTCACCC